TATTCATGTATAATTTTAGAAATTACTGTATTTATTCATGTATAATTTTAGAAATTTAACCCTAAAAATCATCCATAAAGTGGGGGGACAGTATTTTACACGATTTATTGTTAATTAGATTTTTATGCTTTGTACGCTCAAAAAATGATAATCGTATTAAACATGAATAAATACGGTACATGTGGGACCCCAGGAAATATTCCCAGCTTCTGTAAAGTTATGTCCATCATGGCTCCTGGACCAGTCTGTACTTTGATCAAATAATTCAGTTTCAGGATCCTGCCATCAACACTCCTGAACTTTWAACACTCACATCAAGCCTTTAACGGTCTAACTTTACAAACTAATGCAAATTAATATGAAACTATTTGTATTAGTTACTGTTTGAGGAGTTGAAATTGTTTGTTTTGTTTTATTTGGTTTATTAGTTTGAAATATTTTAAAAAGGAGCAGATATAAGAATATTTTCTTCTTCTGCTGCCTTTCATTTTATTTTGATTTGTTTTATTGTGTGAAATGTTTTGTTTATTTTTAATGAAATAATAAAAAATAAAAACGAGCTTGTGAAAAGCGTCTCACCTTGATCTCAACCTGGTTGAAGGTCTTGCCGTTGTACACACCAACCATGGAGCCCACCATCTCAGGCAGGATGACCATGTCCCTCAGGTGAGTCTTCACCACCTCAGGTTTCTCCATGGGCGGAGCCTCTTTCTTAGCCTTACGCAGGCGCTTCAGAAGAGACTGGTGCTTGCGGCGCAGGCCACGGTTCAGCCTCCGTCTCTGGCGGGCACAATACAGCTGCATCAACTGTTCACTGCGAAGACAACACAAAGGATGGACAAATCAAGTTTGTTGTTCTGCCTTAGACCAGGCCATCTGTTTTAACAAGTTAAGACTTTAAGGCCTTTAAAATATAACCTTGAATGAAATTTAAGACCAAAAATAAAAGCRATGKTTGGAGGATTCTGCTGTATTAAACCAAACATGTGTSCCTCTATAAAACACATTGAACATACAGATATKCAGCTCTCTGGTTCAATAACTGTWTTATATAAGTGCAGTGGTTTGATCTGGAGCCACTGATCCTGTAGATGTATTTTTGTTGGATGTTTCCAACCAGAGACCATGGTTGTGAGCAGAACTGGTAGAGTGCCCAGTCCAGCTGCACCTGAGTTACTGCCACCACTCTAACATTATCAGGACGACGAGATACAAACACTGTCTTCAGCTGTTTGGTGCCACACTTCTGGAATGAAGTGGTCAACAGATAAATGGTTAGGAGGAACCAAAAGTTACACCAACAGGTGAGAAATGTTTAAAGTGTAGCAAACATCAAAACTAAAAGCTTTACTGTAGGTGGGCTGGCAGCCTGCTGCAGAAAACCTGAGCAGCAGCCTAATGATTGAAAACACTAACTTCTGTTAACGTGTCAAAACAAGTCTGTCAAAATATATCAAATAAAAGTTGTTAAAGAGCTCCTCTCCWTCTGTTTCAGGTTAGTGGACATCAACCAGTAAACTGTCCCGTCGGGAAATATGTCACTACGTCACACAGTGGAGTCTCTCTGATTGGTTGA